TTTTGTTTCGTTTTTACAGTCTGAAAAATACAATTCCTTCCACACGCAAAACTGCTCTTCATGACATTTGGGCATATTCAAGTATCCTACGAGCCATTACTGCCAAATAACTTGAAAATCAATGACAGACATCAGCCCAAAGAATAAATAAATAACCCAGCGTTCGTATGTTCGTAAGGCAGCCTTTCAAAAAATCCATGTTTTCCAATTTCTTAGCCGCTTTTTGAATGTTTACACATCTGTTAACACTTATTTATTGTCTGTAACAATCCTCAACTAAGTTTTCTTTTACTAAAAAGATGTTTAATGAACAAATTCAAATGATATCTCTATGAATCAAACAGAATTATTTTTCTCCAATGAAATACACAACTTTTAAAAATTGCGACCGTTTACATTTCACAGAGCCAAGTCTAATATAAATTCGCCGTAAGTAACAGAAATATGGATGGATTTTTTGACTTTTCTCCTACAAGGATTGTTTGTTTTTATTATTAAAACAAGCGATCATTCATATAATTTGAATAAAATGAATAATATCATCGCCATTTAACCCTTTCGCTGCCAGAGGGTTATTGTTTTATTCATCACCTATTTGCCAGATGTTTTTCTAAGAAATTACTATATTATTAATTAATATAATTATTATTATTTGTTATTAGTATTGTAATAATTATATATGTTTCCAAATCTGTGAGTATAATAATAATTATTGTCGATGGTATAATTTTCTTCATATTTATTATCATTTTTATCATTATTATTATTAATTTATTATTATTACTATTATTATTATAGAAACGGCTAAAGGCGTCCATATGGCAAATACGCCGAAAATAACAGAGACGGCTTAATCCGTCCCTATGGCAGTGAAAGGGTTAATGCTGATTGTCGAACTTATTTTTCAGCCCAAGACTTTTTCTATTTTATGAGAAATTCGACTGATAGAGACAACAAGTGGGGAAAACAGATTTTAATATTTAAAATTAATACCAGGACATTTCGTTTTAACTTGTTTTTAAGCATAAAATAAAAAGAAAATTTGTTTGTTTGTTGTGTAAGATGAAATTTTATTTCATCTCGTGAACTTTAAAAACAGTATTCTCACTCATGGTTACGCCACTCGTGAGAATATTGTTTTTAAAGCTCACTCGATTAAGTAAAATTTCATCTTACACACAAACAAACAAATATCCTCTATAAAATGAAAGAAGACTATGAGAAAAAACAATCTACAAGTATATGACACCTCTCTGACTCTGAATGGTATTATAGTTTATTATTATTTTTTTAAGATTGTTATTAAATTACATTAAATTCCCTTGTGTTTTAATATGAGGTAAGAGTATATTCAGATTATTATTCAATTAGGAGCTGTAATATTGACAAGGTAAGGATACCATCTATTATTAAATTTATCCCAGTTACAGGAAGAATATTGGATATACATTTCTACATGTATCTGTGAGGTGTAGTTTGTCAATTAAGGAGACGAGTTATTTCCTTTCTGCACTAATTGCAATCCACCAAAATGTTACATTTGCAATATTTAAGTATTCGAACGGAGAACTATTTAAACCTTTGCGCATTTATAATTATATCGGATGTTTAATTATAGTAGATGAATAAATTCTTGCACCAGATTTCACAAACACTGAGCATTGTTAGGAAGTTCTTCAGAGATAGATAGATACTTTTATTTCCTCCAATATTTGAAGAGCTGAATATGTTTAAATTTTCAAAATCTTTGAACAAATTGACTTGTATTTACTACTTGTTCCTACACATATACAAATGTAGTGCAACATAAAACCTGTATCCAGGTCAGGCGCGACTTCCGAGACTTTTTGGGCGCAAAATGTCAATATAAAGGGGTAATGGATATTTAAAGGAGGTGGGGATGAGAAGGGGTTGACATTTTACTTCTTTTAAATGAATAAAATGTTTATAACAATGCAGTATAAGATTTATGTATAACCGATGATACAGACATGAAACGGGACTTTGAGTTTGAATTTTAATAATACCAATTAGAACGGTATTAATTAAAATAAGGATGTCAATAAAGTACATGATCAAAAGTTTACCAGACTGTTTGTTGAATGTAATCGAATACAAATTATTAATAAGAGGAAGGAATCACTTAAGATATGTCGGACATGCATGTTAATATTTCCTCCCCTTGAACAACATGCGCTATTATGATATTGATCCTTCCGTTCAAGGGACATTACTGTGATGTGTACTTTGTGTCAGTTAATGTGAAGGATTATTTCCCTTCTACACTATTTGCAATCCACCCAAAAGTGACTATAGGTCGCGCATTAATTATTGTGCCAGGGATATTATTGTAAACGAATCAGTCGGATGGGGTCGACATTTTACTACTTTTATAAAGGGGGTAATGAGTAAAGATTTGTTTGCTAATTTCACTCTTAAAGTTTACTTGATTTTCGCTTAAGTTATATCCAAATCTTAGAGGGGTCCTTTACAAACAAGCCGAATCAAATGTGCCCGGGGAAGGGAGAGTCCCACACCCGTACCCCTACTAGACCCGCGCATGCTTTCTTATGTCCTTATTTTATAGATTAATGGTAGTGTATAAAATATTATGATGTATCAGATTGTAATGGAACAGTTCATGTATACATGTGTGGGGAAAATTATATCAAATTTACAAGTATACAATAGGCCACCCGGGCTTTGTACAGTGTCCTAAAACCTGTAGTTTTGATAATAAAGATAAGATTATTCTTTGGACACATGCCAATTTTGATGAACATTATAATTGATATTATACATGTAGCCAAGCGTTGAGAATGAGGATACTATTAATGCTGTAGTAAATTTTGTCCATAAAAGTTTTTCAACTAGACTCGAAAAAATGTAATATCTGATAGTGAATCATTTGGCTTACTTGAATATCGTTTCTTCTTTTTTATTCACTTTTGTCATTTAATATGCCGTAGTTTCTGATTGTTACAAAGTCTTTTGTTAATCGTGTTTGCTAATATTAAGCTTTAGTTATGTTATGTTTTTAATTCTGTACATCTTGCACAATATCATTATGTGATTATATAAATTTGAACAGTTCTACCTGTACACCGCATGCCTTTAGCAAATCAAAGCGAATAATAATAATATCACATGATAACAAAATGGACGTCAAAAAATTCAATGAGGGATGCTTAAATGGACTCGCCCAACCGCAATGTTTTGTCGGGTTACTTATTCGTACAACTTAGTTAAAGCCACGTGATACAAAATACATGAAAAATGGTACTGACAGCTCCTGACTTGGCGCTCAACATTAAATAGTAGTGAATAATGTTTAATATATCGAAGGCAAGCAATAGTTCACCTCTGTGCCATGTGGGAAATAAGATCATGCACTGTTAAGAGAACCTGTTCAGAACCTACAATAGACGGACTATCAGTATGTGACTGAAAAAGTGATGAAATATCTGGAAGAAGTGATCCCTCAGACATTTAAAAACAAACGAAATCATGAAAATTGCAGACTCGGTTTGATTGAGTTTGTACATGATGGATAATAAAAAAATGCAGCAACCCTCACGCCCTCTAGCACCAGCTTAAGCGAGACTCAACTCTCAACACTTATAAGTGCTAGATTTTTAATTATCCCTAAGTACCAGAAAAATATAGCAACACTGAAGTGAAGAACAAAGCACCTTTTTAGGCTGCTATACGGCAGTTGACACCTGCTGTTTTGATGTATAAATATGGCGTTAAACTCCGAAATAGTAACTCACTCTATTTCAATTTCACCCTTCGATATATTCAAGTTATTGCCAGCGCTTTAGGCCGTACAGCGTCTTGAAAGACGTCTTTTGAGTTAAGGATTTAGTGCCGAAAAACAGTTAGGTGCAGTCCCTATGGAAAGGACCGGGCATGTAAACTAAGGGCAAGCTTAAGCGGCTCATATGCAGCAGTCATTGCTAGGTCAAGCACCGATAAATCTTAACAGATATATAAATGAGGGCCAACATGGATAACTGTCCAGCAGCTTTTCTCCTGCCTAATCCCGAGACAACTCGAACCCGGTCCAGTCCCGCGTGAATTGCACAACCGAGACCGTAGTCAAGATGTCCTTGCTCAAGCTGCCAGCGTTTTGTCATCATCAAAAGACGAAACTATTGATGCACGTCAGCGCACTAGACAAAACAGCCGTCGACGTAAATTGGCTGAGCTTATGAGAAAAGTTCCCAATTTACTTTGGGAACTTGGCATCAGTTCGTCTTGTAGTTACTAAAATTATAATTTAGATGTCAGGAAAGAAACACAGTAAAATATCCTGGCCTTATTTAACGTGTTCATAATATGTGTTGAGATGACCCCTCAATATAAGCGTAACTGTTCATCGATAATCGTTCCCGACATTATGTCGCAAATGTCTAATACCATTATTAATGTACGAACTCAGTACCAGTTTTTAGTCTCTTGCAGGATAAACACAGAAAATTGCAATATTTTTTGTTACATGCCATTTCTAATCAGAGAATGTAGTCTTGATAAGAGTATATTTTGTTTTCCTCCCAAAACTGGCACTTAAAGAAAAAAAAAACCTTCATTACTGCTTTTTTCCGGGCGAGTTTAATACTATGAGTTTTTTTATTGCATCATACCTATACTTAAGCAAGTCAGTTATAGTCCATTTAAGAAAATCGCAAAGCAGTTGACGGAGTATGGAACATAAATTTCATTTATAGAATGTTCACAAACATCATTTTTGATGTGTAGCAAGCAACTGTTGTTACGTACGCAAGAAGCTTATTATTTTTTTGATGCACTGATTAAGAAGCGCATGTAGTCTAACTATGTGTCCTACACGTTTAGTTATTGTAATATTTTTCTTATGGGCAATATCTCCTACTTTCTGACCCAGAACAAACATATCTCAAAATCTAACTGAGCACGTCTAGAACGGAATGGTAGATTAAATCAAGTATTTTTGTTAGCTTTATGTGTTGACCACAAACAATAAAGGTATTTGGTAGGAAATGAACTAGTATTTCTATAATCATGGCTGAACGGCGATTCGAAGCATTTTTGGAAATGCTAATACTTGGTAAATGACTATAAATAGACGCTGCTGTATTTTGTTTTTAAATATTTGATTAATTCATTGTTTAAAATAAATATCTATACACTCAACCGAATTATAATGGCTTCATTGTGTATTTAAGATATATGTATAAATATGCATGACAATGTATAGGCTAAAGGTAAACAACATAGCTTCCTCTTTCAGAGGTATACGATAAATTGCTCTGTCGCTACTTCCGAGCTAGTGCATGTCGCCGAATTTAAGTGCCATCAAAGGTAAAATGTTGTCTTCTTAAGTATTATCTGAAACTATGCATCAAATATCGAAAATCAAACAATGCTTTCAGCTTTGCAATGTGAATTTGATAAAAGTTTCAAGGGAACGTCAAGTTGATGAATTTATGTTTGAACTGTATTTGTGGCGGTGTTTCCCGCGATAAAAAGGACTGATTCATAATGAAATACTTGCTATTGCCTCATATCTTAATTTAAACAGCAATCCAGATTAAAAAGAATACGTTTTAAGTAAGCATTTTGTCAAGAATGAAAAAATTAAATCGGAACCAAAACTTTTAGAGCAATTTACCGTATACCTCTTAAGTGGTAGCTTCATTGTTTAGCAAGGCGTGTTAGCCTGCTTAAAATGTGTTAGTTTTCATGAAATAAAAATATAAATATAACATGTAAGCGTTAAGATACAATGCCAGATAATTAATCTCGATGATTACCTTAAAAATTAAAGCTACAGACTCAAGATGAGTAATCATTTTCATTTTACAAAAATCATGATGTATCAGTTTTTTTAAGAAAATGGTATTTATAGCAAAGTACATTTGTAGTACATTGCAGATTTATCCAAAATATGACAGAACCTTTTATTTCAGCCCATATTTCTTCCTCGATTTCTTACGGAGTAAGTCATTTTCTGCATATATTGTGATGTTTTTGATATTGTTACTTACTTACTTAGATTAATGTTACTTTGTTTACATATAAAAACGAATGTAATATGAAAGATTCGAGTAAAATAATGCAGTTGTGACGAGGACAATGAACGTATCGGACTTCCTTCTGTCAGCCGAATTTACAAAACTTTCTTCAAAACTTCCTTCACCTGAAATCATAAATATTTTCATGAAATTAAAAAAAAAGATTATATGAGATGAGTTTTATTCTGGTAAATTAGCATACACATTTCTTTTGCAGTTTGCAATGGATCATGCTTGCAAGCATGCATGATTATGTTGAAAACCGATTATAAATTATTATAATTATTTTACTCGAGCAAAACTATTGAAGAAAAGAAACAAATACTAGTAAGCGTTTTATCTTGGTGAAAAGAGCTCAGGCTAAAATTATCCTAAATAGAAAACTATACAAATTTATTTTAATAGAATAATTATTGAAGTACATTCGGCCGAGTTTTAATCCGTGTCAATGAAAACGATAGTTGAAAAGGCGGGATCTATTTACGGATAGCCAATATTTTTGAGTTCGTTATAAAAGTGTACTTTTAACTAAATTGGGACTAAGAAATGAGTTCCTTATAAGCGATAATTCCTTATAACCGTGTTCGCTATAACCATATATTTTATATTAAATAAAGAAGGGCAAAATTCGGGCCAAAATAAATTGTTCCCTATAACCGGAAGTTCGCTATAACCGTGTTCGCTATAAATGAAGTTAACTGTAATTAACTCTGACAACCATTTGTAATTTTATTCAACTTAACTTAATATTGGTTTTAAGAAATCTAAAATCTTGATTTCGTATTAAACACAATATATAATCATTATCGTACACATTCCAAGACATTGTAAAGTGTTTTACAATTTAATTTAATAAAATTTAATGGAAATAAGACTTACCATTGTCAAGAAAACTTCTACAAATGGGAAACCCCTTTGGAGGGCTTGGCCAAGAATCACCCTCTTCGATAACCATTGCCATTCCGTTGTGGTTGTGAATGTCGATATGACAGTGAAAAAACCACATCCCTGGATTGTCTGTTACAAATCGTATAACAACATATCCTCCTATTGGAAAACACAAAACTCAGTTTAATAAAAGTATCTTTTACAGCTAATATGAAGAAATCATAAATGGGTAACTTTTTACATTCAGAGTATAGTTAATTAATGCTTTTACGGTACGTTGACAAGAAATGATAGCCTTTGGATTTGTGTCGACATACAACATACACATACCTTTTGGAAGGATGATAGTATCTTTTTGTGGTGGTTTTGGATTCATACCAGGAACATTGCCCCCAGACCAGCTAGAATTAGCCCATGCAGCGGTACTACAGTAGTTAAACTTATCTGTACATTTTATAGCTTTAGAATTTTGCTGGAGTTTTCCAGTGGTGACATTGTAAGTTCCGTATCCCGTTTTCATTACATAAAAAGAATGTCCATGTAGATGAATCGGATGAGATGCTCCAGACCCTCTCCCTGAGCTCAATAAAACAAACTGAACAATTTTCTGTGACGGTACTTTCCGAATATGTGTACAATGACATACACCGTTTGTTTCACAGCTTTCATTGCACGGGGTTGACAGATTATCTCTTTGGGTCAGAAGGGACACGGTCGGCAGATAAAATCGTCTACCATTGATAGAAGCGGGCGTATTTCCAATGGGCCCAGGCATGCCGAATTTGAAAAAATACTCTTCGTCTACTTTATCACCTACAACACTTGCGTAGTCTTGATTTGGGTCTATGTTTTCAACTTCATTGAATGAAATACATTTTCTGTTTTCTTTTTTTGGATAATACTTGAAGGGACAGTTAAATGTATGGCATATTAATTCAGATGTGCATTCCTCGTCTTGTGTGTTTTTAGGGTTAGGAGATTGTGCTGTTCCAACGAAATCTTCGAATTCCAGAACGCCTTCAGCTGCATGATATTTAGAAAAATTAAGACTCTGGGGTGTTTCTAAAGTTTTGGCAATAATCAATATCTCTTTAGATGTTATGCTGTTTTCTTCTGGAGATTGCCAGTAAAAGTCATACCTTTCACCTGGATGTATAACTATTGATTGTACCGGAAGCTGATTAATGTTATAGGCGTCAGAAGAACGCAAGTTTATGCGTTGTCCATATATAAAGATTCGCATTGGAAGTGCATACATTGCTCCAATCACTCTAAATCTATAACGAGTTCCAGCTCTTATTTTGAAACGTTCCAGAGGAGACCCGTTGTTAGAATCCAAGCTTGTCCAGAATCTCCCCTTTCCATTCATAAGACCAGACTGAAACGCAAACTCTTCAAACCATGCACCATCTACAGAATATGTAGAAGGGATTACTTCGTTTGTTTTAAAGTTAAATTGTTGAGTAATTGCCCTTTCGTATGCTGTTTGTGAGTTCAACTCATTATTCCATTCCTGAAGTGATATTATAATTTCCTTTTCTTCAAGAGCCATCTTTGGACGTATAATTAAAGGACCGTAAAGTCCCATATATCGTTGGGCGGCAAGATGTGAGTGGTAAAAGTAAGTGCCGGGTGGGGTTGCGTTAAAAACATGTTCGAACGTTTGACCAGGCATAACTGGGCACTGTGTTACGTATGCAACGCCATCCATCCATGGAGTCGATTTTTGCGGTAGGCCGTGAAAATGAATGCTAACGCCTTCAGTATAAAGTTTGTTGACAACTTTAACATGTAACAATTGTCCTTCATAGACTTCTATTCTTGGACCTGGGAATCTGCCATTGACAGTAATGACTAAACGAGATTTTTGTCCATCTGCAGCGATAACCCGTGCCGCATGTTCGGTACTGAGTTCAGAATTATTAGCCCGTAACCGCAATTTACCGTTATCAGGATAAACAAGCTCATTGTCTAGAAGCATTGTTAGTTTGTATTCAATGACCAGTGTACAATAGCATTTCGTATCATTCTTTGGGCATATACAGTCTTCTTTTGAAGCCGCCGGTTGAACGTCAATAGTTTGAACAAATTGCGCACACTGATACATAAATAAACAGGTCATTATAGCAAATGCTCCTTTTGCCATCTGAAACAATAACCATAATATTTCAAAGTGATAAGCCATATCGTCACACATACATATATACAGTTTAACAGTATATTATAGATTTCTAATTCTATACAAAAATAAATGAATACAAAAAAAAATCAAAGTACATATAAATTCTAGCTAGTGGCTTTTTATTATTTTATGTTTCATGTACAAGTTATTATGAGTATGTCTTTTGTAAAGCAATGCTATTTGTTTTAATTTTAGATAGTTAATATAATCTACACATTAAATAATTTTTTTTACAACCTTAATTTTTTCATTATTGTATAAAAACTCAACATTATCATTCCTGTTGCCAGTATTAAAAACCATTGTAGCAGTCTTATCAACTTTAACAGTAAGTAAAAATTATCAAATATAATTTTAACGGATAAATCAGTAAAAACAGAAAAAAAGACATTCCCCTTAAAAAGATATATCTGCCTTTTTAAATGAATACATTGTGTGTAAAATAAGAATTCAATTATATCTAAAAACGTACTTTATGCATTCATAAGATCTGTTTAAAGTTTCAAACTTGTAGATTTTTTTGAAATAAAGCATAAGGTATTTTTCTTCAACGCATATAAATAAAATTGATTTATTGGTTAAAAACTCTAAAAACATAATACATGTGCCACTAATATTTTCGAAATTTTGATTAAATTAGAGAAATAAAATAAAACATACCTTTCAGGCTGACACGTGGTACTCAGATATAAGCTCTATCTTGCGCACAAATTATCAGAAGTTTGTATATCATACAAATATATAAGAAGCGTCAAGCGAATGAAAATGTCTTTTTTCCTCCAGGTCAACCTCTTTTATACGGGGGAATGTACGAGGGGTGATGAAAAACATCGCGGTAAGATGCTTCCTGTTTCTTTTCTTAACATATGATATTCATGAAAATATTCTACTGATTCGAGAGTAATTTCATACAAGCATTTATCATTCTTTGCTCAATTTAACAGATTTGATTACAAATTTATACGCCCTTTAGAAAAGTACCCGTCTAAAATATCATTTTCAAGGTTGACGCCAACAAAATAATTTATTTCGACTCAGACTATGGGCTAGTGAAGAAATCTGGGGATGTTTCTCTATTTTCCAATCCTTAATTTAAACTTTGAAATCTGGTGTTACTGGATATTCCGAGACTGATATATTTTCAATAATGAAGCATTGATAATTGGAATATAAATAACAACAAAACTTAGAGAATCCAGATTACCATAAACACGCCATGTATGTCATGCTGATTGATCTTACGTATGGAAAGACGTTTGACGACAAACAGACGACATAAACAACGCTGATGTTATACTTAGATACGTCGAATGAAAAGCGTTAAAGGTCCACAGACACACCATAATTGAAACTGTTACAAGAACTTGATCCTATACAACAGTGCTTAATGCAATTCACCTTACATGACCCATACAGCCGAATAGTTGAAGATGAAAATGTCGTTATTTAGAAAATAGTTCAATCCGCAAACGCGTTTCTTACGGCGGCAAGACACTCATTGACTTGTGAAGAATTATTTCACTATTAAGTCAGGTTGACTTTCAAGGCTGACGATATTGATCGTTACGGCTGGTTTAATTTTCATTTGATTTTAGCAATCGTTGGTAACTATGTGAACACTATACTTCCGTTTCTGATTCGATTTTTTGTCATATTTATATGTTTATCATATATTTCTCTTTTAGACTGAGTCAGCAGTTACTGTCGGAATTTGTCTTGTCTTACGTTGAGACCATGGGTCAATAAATTTGGAAACACTTACACGTGTCCACAAACATTTTGATCAACCCTGAGGTTTTATGTTGTACAACTAGTAAAATGCTCATACTATTTATTCAAATTAAGCTAACAAAAAAAATTTCAATAGGCCGGGGACTTTTGGTTGTAATTAAAATGTGGCTGACATCAGGAAGTAAAAATACCGGTATCTTATTATTTTTTTTTTACTACTAAGGTCGCAATTCCAATTGTCATGTCTGTAACTTGATCAGTTTAATGTAACAAAAACCAACTTAATTGTCGGACCGATATTAAAAACATCATCATTTACAGGGTGGCAACATTTTTTATGCCCCGCCATGTAATGGCCGGGGCATATAGTGTTATCCTGTTCCGTCATTCCGTCCTTCCGTCCTTCTGTCATTCCTACATCATCAGTTTCCGTTCATTATCTTAAGAACGGTTGCACACATTCAACTCAAATTTCACATATGGATATGTCATAAAAAAATACAGGTCAAGTTCGAATTTGGTCATGGTTCGATGATTTTTGGCAGAGTTATGCCCCTTTTACTTTGAAAATAATATGAAGTTTTCAGTTTCCGTTCATTATCTCCCCATCAGTACAACACATTCAACTCAAACTTGACATATGAATGCTTCAAAGGAATGCACAGGTCAAGTTCAAATTTGGTTATGGTTCGATGATTTTTGGCAGAGTTATGCCCCTTTTACTTTGAAAATAAAAAGAAATTTTCAGTTTCCGTTCATTATCTCGCCAATGGTACAACACATTCAACTCAAACCTGACATATGGATATGTCATGAGAAAATACAGGTCAAGTTCGAATTTGGTTGTGGTTCGATGATTTTTGGCAGAGTTATGCCCCTTTTACTTTGAAAATAATATGAAATTTTCAGTTTCCGTTCATTATCTCCCCAAAGGTACAATACATTCAACTCAAACTTGACATATGGATGCGTCAAAGGAATGCACAGGTCAAGTTTAAATTTGGTCATGGTTCAATGATTTTTGGCAGAGTTATGCCCCTTTCACTTTGAAAGTAATATGAAATTTTCAGTTTCCGTTTATTATCTCCCCAATGGTACAACACATTCAACTCAAATTTGACATATGGATATGTTTTTGGAATGCCCAGGCCAAGTTCGAATTTGGTCGTGGTTCAATGATTTTTGGCAGAGTAATGCCCCTTTCACTTTGAAAATAATATGAAATTTACAGTTTCTGTTCATTATCTACCCAACAGTGTTACATATTCAACTTAAATTTGACATATGGATATGTCAAAGGAATGGGCAGGTCAAGTTGGAATTTGGTCATGGTTTGATGATTTTTTGGCAGAGTTATGTCCCTTTTACTTTGAAAATAATATAGATACATCTTAGGAATAAGCAGTTTAAGTTTGAATTTGGTTGTGGTTCAATGATTTAAGACAAACTTATCCTTCCTGAATGTTTGAAAAATTTTGAACTTTCAGTTTCAGCACTCATACTTTTAGCCATATGCAATATGCTATTTTTAAAAGGTGAAGACTGAATAATTTCAGTGCCTTGAACATTGTATGAAAATGGTTTGTGTTTATATTGAAAAGTTTTAAGGGCTTTGAACTTAAAATGAAAAAAATAATTAATGCACCATCTGAAATTTTAGCTGCATGCGGGGGCATCCGTGGCATGATGACACATTTCTAGTTATTTGATTATCATTTTCATCGGCGTTCTATTCTGTATTTAAATCAATATTTTAGATTATGGTATAATCAGTGGCATTTGCTGCATTTTCATGGGTAAAAATTCAGCTTGTGAAATATGTTTGTAACTATAGAATACCTTTAGGTATATTCAAGCTTATTTCAATAATAATTTAGGAATATTATTCCAGTTTTGTCCTTCACAGTGGATAGAGCTTTGGAAACGTTCCCCCTTCGACGAATTACTTCGTCAAACGACTAATTATTGTCTTGATCACATTATTTTTACTACAAATGAAAATACAATCTTTGATAGTCTTGATCCGACTTTCTGTCATTTGTTTCTGTTATAATGTTCTGTCTGACATGCTGCTTTAGTTGATAATTGTTTCATTTTAATGTTAAAAAAAAATAAAAAAAAAAAAATATGAATTTACAGGGACACATGTTTGTTTTTTGCATGATGGGGCTTGAAATATTTTTAGAGATACATGTTCCGTTTGATGAAGGCATTGACCAATAACTTGTGTGCAAAATTTCAGATCATTTACTCGCTTCGTTTTTCAAGAATAATTGTTCGAATTGTGAAAAATCAAAGGGCTGCAAGCTCTGTGGTATTTTCTGATCTTTGCAATCTAAATCGTATTGTATATCTGTATGTATTTTCCTGTATAAGTTTATTTTAATAGACTATAGACCTTTTTACAGTACGATCTTTCCACAGCAACTGATGTTGCATTTTGCGCATGCGCATTCTGCGTAGGGCAAAAGCGCAATAAAGATAGAATACATTTAGCGTAATTGAAGGCTTTAAAAGACCTGATTATAAGTTATGACACTAAGAAAACAGAAATTTTGGGATGAATAAAAGCGGTAAGTACTTAAATAGTGAATTGATATTTATAACAGATATACAAAATTAGCGGGACTAATAATTCCAGAGACATTTATGTCTCTGATAATTCAAAGACTAAAAGTCTTCTGTTCAAGGTATCATTAAATTACTTTTTCATCAGTAATTTAAATTGAAACAGCACGGTGTTAAAGATAAATATTTTTACCCATGTATTACATAACATTACACAATTAGTATTCCTTTGAAAGTGGATTGGCAAGGCGGTAAACGGATTGGTTTATACAAATTTATTTTAGTTCGATTGTGTTGGAAGCTATAAGCTTATTGAAACACTCTCGGTAAACGGATTGACACGTGACCGGTTGTTATTTGCCAGCTAGTATACAATATCATTCAACCGGGACTTAAAAATATGAAAATCGTTATTTGTGTTACTTTTTATTTATATCAATCTCATTAATGTTAATTAATTTTGTGAAGTGACAAATAGTGTACGTGACATGCATTTTCATGTGTTACGAGGAACCGGATAAAATGTGTGTTATTTCACCTTCCATTTTTACTTCAAAAGAGTATTGAAAAAAATTATTATATTTATGTGACTTAAAAAATTTCTGTTTGGCATAACAGCCAAGTCGGATAAAGGATAAAATTAGGTAAACTGAAAAATAAAAATGCATAAACACGTGTTCCGACTTATTTTCATAATTACCAGTTACAAAACTTCTTAAGCTTTTATATGGACGATTTCAACAACAATTAAATTGATTTCTTTATTTGCTAATATATATTTCCACATTTTTATGCAAAAATTATCTCAATGCCAGGTCCGTGATCGTAAGGGAGAATTCTTAAACAATCGTGTCTTCCATGCCTTTTTATGGCATTCTTGGCCACAAAGCTACAAAGGTATCTTTTGTGTTTCTATTAAAAGCTATTTTATATTATTTCTAATTTTTACCTTAAACTAACAAACGGAATTGTTTATGAATTTCTACTTCATTTCTATGTAGGGCAATGCTCTTTTACGCAGATCGCGCATGCGCGAGAAAATACTACTTCCGGTATTTTTTTCTCAGCAACATACCGCGTCGTAAAAAGATCTATAATTCACCTTACAGGGCACCAAGATGCAGCGACTGCGTTTAGATTTTTTTACTTTTACAGTTTGAGTTTTAGTTGCATCAAAAAATCATTTATGTTCATTTTTTATGATAGCCACACTTTATCCTTGCATATCCTGGCTACTTCCTTAAAAAAGACACTTAAAAAAATAGTTGCCTCGACTGGAATTTGAACCCCAGACCTCTCACACCCTAAACGAGCGCGTTACCCCTGCATTACGGGGAAGTTATTGGATAAACCTGAATAAAATCAAAAAATCATAAATTTAAAATTTCCATTTCGGGTTATTAATTTAAGGTATTTTTTTCACGATATACTTGTTGTTTTACACTGATGTAACACATTTAGCGAAAATCTTCTCGCCAAAACAGTCCGACATGTATACAGTCCACTACTCGAC